TAATTATAATAAAGTTACAATAAATTAAGTTAATATATAATTATATATACAGTACCTAATTTATATATAATTAATATATAATTATATGTACAGTACCTAATTTATATATAATTTATATATAATACTGTACAGACGATAGCAAACTCAATTTAGCCGCTCCGTAGCGTGGCGCAGGGTCGAAGGAAAGTAGTTCGGTTGCTCATCCACTATTGGTCCAGACTCTATCAATCTTGTTGCGAAACGAGTCGGCGAAGACGTTTTAGGAGGTACTTTATACGAATGTTGCTACAATTTTTTCACTACGTTATAGGAATTGTCGTTATAGGAACGCACGTTATAGGGGGTTGACTGTATATTTATTAACCAGATTTGACCATTATTATTTAAAAGTGATAATTAATTTTATTTAAATAATTTTATAATATACATATTGTTACTATACTAAAATTAAAAAATAATTTCAATAATAATAATTTTAAATATGTGGGTGCTTCAAGAAGTTCGTGGAAAAAGTCCGTAACTAAAAATTGTTTGGAAGGATTTTGATTTCAATGCACCTGAACATTCTTGTACCAATGTGTTATAACATGTTCAAACATGAACCCTTAAATGCAGATAAAAACTCAGCACTGCCAGTTGAAAGTCAAGCACCATTCAAGCAACATGGAATCCACCAAAACAGTCCAGAACAAACATCAAGTTCATGGTGAAACTTGGTTGGGGGAATAGGCAAATCATTGATGCTCTGAAACAAGTTTATGGTGATAACGCTTCAAAGAAGTCAGCAACCTACAAATGAATAAGTCACTGAAAGGTAAAAGGCCAATTTTCCATCAGTTGAAGATGTAAAACGAGCTGCTCTGACATGGTTCAGATCACAAAACCCTCAGTTCTACTTAGACGAACTTAAAGGTTGGTATCAACGTTTGCAGAAGTGTATTGACCTTAATGGAGCATATGTTGAAAAATAAACATCATAACTGAAATCGTTTTTTCATACTATCCTTTTTTCATGAACTTTTTGAAGCCCCGTTGTAATTACAATTTATATATGTAAAATGTACATATGTATGACTTGTATAAAAACTTTTGATTTATATAATTTGTTTTATTAAATTATATTAATAATTAATAAAATTAATTAATTATTCTGTATGATACTTTTTAATATTTAAAACAAGGCTTGAAAATTTATATATTTATTGAGTTATCTTATATTTTTGTATGAATTATAATGAAATTAACTTTCATCACTAATTTAAATTTTTATTATTAAATAATTTAATACATAATATATATTTAATATTGTAAACTTTATATATCTTTTTGTATTTTTTCTATTATTGAGTGTTTTATAAATGAAATTACTTGATATGATTTTCAAAATTATAAAAATTTTCTAGGACCAACTGGAATATTTATGCAACAGCATCATTACCAAGCAGTCCCACATAACACAGCTGCAACATTAATTCCAGCCGACATGGATAAAGATTTAGTTCTTAGCCACGAATTGTTACCTGTTTCTATTTTAACATCAGAAAATTTTTGTAAAAAAATTACTAGTAATGTAAATCATTTATCTACTTCAGAAGGTAATTAATTTATTAAATTTGTCAAAGTTATTAAATTTATTAAATAGAATGATGATAAACTCAATAATGAATGCAAATACTACTTGTGTATACTTAATTTAGTCAGCCATATTATGCATTCCCAGAAATTTTCATTGTATAAAATAATTTAAGTTAGTTCTTTTATTGTTTAGAACCAGTCTTTAGTAGTAAAATAACACTAACAACAGGCATGTTGATAATGAAATTGTTCAATTGACTTTTGAAATTTATTATTAATTTTTTAATTTTTAATAGTCATGTTCTACTTTTTTATGCCAAACAATTTTCAAACTTTTATAATCTTAATTTTATACTTAAATCTATAAAAATAAGAATTTTTAATATTGACTAAGAAAATATCTTAACAAATTTATTGAGACAAGTAAATTATAATATGAAATTATAAATTGTCATGAGAATGTTTTCAGTTTTGTAATTTTATATTAGAAACTGAATACTCACTTACATTAGAGGACTTGAAAGAAAGAAAATTTTTTAAAAATATTATAATTATCATCTTTTTGTCCAATATTGTAATAAATCTCTGAACAGCTATATGTAATTTGCTATAAATTTTAAGGACTTGTCACACTTCANTCTTCTTTTTAGTTGATTGTTTTCTGTCATAATACACTTGATTGCATAGTTTTGATTTTAAAGTTCTTGTTTAGCACAACACACAGTTTACAACGTCATTCATCAAGACGAAAGGCAACACTTCCATCTAACAATCACCCTCGTACCATTCTTCCAAGAAGGATGTCAGAAGATAAAACTTCAACGACTTGTTTTGTGGCTTCAGAAACAATTCCAGAGCCAAAATCTGTTTATGTGCCATCTCCAGCTATTACAATTCCACTTCCAAATTCACAAAGCAATATTTGTTATTTATCATCATCTTTGGGAACACCTTACGTTCCTGGTAAAAACATTTTTATNATTTATTGTGACATCATCATAATGCCAGACTGCAATTTTTAATCATATTTTAAATTTAGTTCATTTAAAATACAGTGGAACCTCGCTTAACGAGCATAATTCATTCCAGAATTGTACTTGTAATACAAAACACTCGTTAAGTGAAGCAATTTTTTCCATAGAAATTAATGTAAAATACGATAATGCGTTCCATGCCAAAAAAAATATTCAAATATTTTATGTATAACATTTATTCAAAGAAAATTATACAATGTGCATTGTTAAGGAGGTGAATCATCATCATCATTTCTTCTAGTGCAGAATGAGCCAACCTGGAATGAGAATTCAATTTGCAGAAAACAAAAAAAAAAATCACAGATATGTTTGATAAACACTCCAAACGATATGTCAAATTCTTGGGCTATGTAAAGGCTATAATTATTTAATAGAAATGAATTAATTTGACTAGAAGTAGGCAGTTATGTTTCCATCTCATATTAAATTTAACAATTATAAATAGTTAATTTTTAATTCAGACATTTCTAAAATTTAATTTGGAATTGGTTATTAAATTTAATATGAGATGGCAGCATAAATGCCTAACTCCAGTCAAATTAATTAGTTTCTAATATTTAATTATAGCATAATTATAATTATTTACGTAGCCCAAGAATTTGCGTATCATTTGGCATATTTATTATATAACAGGCTATGGTGGTTGTTGTTTAAAAGTAATGTGTGTGAACACAAGTTTGGAAAAATGTGATCACAAGTGACATTAAGATGCTAGTGGAATGAGTGCTAAACATAGACTGATGGAGCATGCGCACAATTTGGGACTTTTCCTCTCCTCGTCACTTGTTAAGCGAGGCAATTTTTTACAATTTGTTTTGCTCGTTATGCGAGGTGCTCATTAAGCAAGGTTTCACTCTATATGCTTGCCATCTCAAATTAGTACTGTACTGTCTTGCCCCTGTACATCATACTTTTCCATTATCAATGGAGTTGTGTTGGTCATCTATTAACTGCTTTTAGGTGAAAAGTTTTGAATTGAAATAACTTGACTTCTGGTTTGCATCGGAAGTTCATATATAGTTAATTGGGGCCTCTGCCCCTAAGGTTTCCATATCTGGTCTCATCTTTTATCTATCTAACTCTGTTCTTGAGATTAAGGAAAGACAGATGGATGACAGTAGAATAGGTCTACAATTTTTTCAAATTGCAGCCCAATTAAAATTTTAGTATCTTACAGAGACCAGTGAGTTGGGTGATTCTAATGGTTATCATAACAAAATGAGAAAAAAACCTATAGAAAGCATTATGCACAATAAAAAGCTTACTAATTAGCATATACAGTAGAGCATTGATTATCCGACTCCTGATTAATCGTCACATCGGTTAACCAACCGTTCTAGTCGGTAAATTTCAAATGTCCACTAGTGATGTGGCGCTACAATATTTTGCTATGTCTTGGCTACTTTAATATTATTTTTGTTAAATTTTTGCATGTTTTAGCTGGCAACACTGGCTCGACCATGAAAGGAAGGTCAGTATTTAAACGAGGCTTAATTTTCTAATTATGAGTGGTGGTTTGTTTTGTGAGCAATAAAATAATTTTAAAATAATTTTTAACGATACAATAGTGACAATTATTATTTAAAAAAAATTTTGTTAGTCTTAACATCGATGAAAATTCAATGCAAAATAGGTTAATAGTGATATACTAATATACTAATTACATGAGATATACTAATATACTATACTAATAATGTATTTTTTCATACTTTTCGGTTATCTGTTTTTTCAGTTATCCGACCAACCCAGTCCCGAATTGAGTTGGATAATCGGTGCTCTACTGTATAATCATTCAATTAACTGTTAATAAAACAGTTTTAAGTAGTTTCAAATTTAAATTCAAGAAAATAAATCTAAGTGAGGACAAACAATATGAATAATGGAAAAAATTAAACAATTTTTTTCTATATTAAAAAAATGATTTTTAAAATTAGAAAGTTTCTGGTACTGTATTGTGTTAACAATAAAATAAATGACTATAAAATTAAGTATAATTACAATTTATAAAAATATCTATCATTTTTTGCAAGAAGTTAATTTTTGTAATATTCATAACAGGCCAAAGAGAACTTTTTAAAATAAAATAAAAAAATTTTAGTCATAAAATTTTTAATTCAGACAGTTTACTTGCTTGATGTTACAAATCTTTTTATTTTAATGATAGATGATAGAAACTATATAATAGTTTGATTTGTTTGTTAATCATCTACATTAGCAGTTGCTATGTAACAGTTTATTAGTACAGTAGAGCCTCAAACTCGGCACTCGATAACCCGGCACTCCGGATAACTCTGTCACACCCTGGCAGGGCAAAAAAAATCCTTAGTTAATTAATTTTCATTATAGACAGCTTTTTGCCTCATAAAGTATTTTTCTGAGGTCTATCTTATCAGGTAAATTACTGTACACAGTGTATTCATTAATTTTCATTTTCATGTAGTAAAGGCTCTATGCCTTCGTAAAGTAGGTACTTTACGAAGGCATAGAGCCTTTGTTTAAGGGTATTTGGGCATACTTTTCCTTTGTTTAAGGGTATTTGGGCAGTTTATTCTCTGTTGTATTCTCAAGCAAACAATACATCAATACATACAAGTACAGTACAATATTTTCTGAGGAAACATGCATACTTATCCTTTTTTAACCCCATTCCCGATAACCCGGCATTTTCACAAACTCGGCCACTTTTCGGTCCACATTAGGCCGAGTTTTCGAGGCTCTACTGTAGTAGTAATTTTGAATCTAATATTTATGGATTAAGAATAAATACATCTTAGGTTATCCATAAAATCTATATTTTATATAGATTTTACACAATGGTAACTTAAGATGTTTTATTAATATGCATTTTGATACATGCAATTACTCTTAATCTATAAATATTGGATTCAAAATTGCTAAATAACCACTGCTAATAAATATAGATGTTTTGTGTATTTCTGGTTTAATCATAGTCAAATCATCTTGACTATGCTGAACTAAATTTATATGTAATTTACTTAATACCAAATAATAAACTACCTTACTAAAATTTGTTCAAATAATTTATAGCTTACTTTATTTATAGTATTTTAATGTATATTTTAACATAGAGCAGATATAACATGGAATTGGATTAGATATAATAAGAATGTATTATACAATATAATTTGGAAGTACTCAGCAGAGATAAATTTGAACTTACTACAATACCTGTGCATTTGCTGAGAGAATTTTTTATTAACAAACATTTTCAGCCTACTCCCATGGGCCATCATTGGGTTTTTAAATCTATTTTTAGAAAAGTTCTTAAAAAATTCTCTCAGCAAATGCGCAGGTGTTGTAGTAAGTTTGTATTATATAATTTTGGAATCGTGTATACTTGAAATTTATTTATTTGATAATATATTTACCTTATTATTCCATCTTGTCCAAAGATCCTAGAAGCGCAATATAAATATAAAATAAANTTGATTTTTCCAAAAAATGTTATTGGTGTAAATCCGAAATCTTTAATATTTACCATATTTTTACCGAATGTCCAAAGATCCTAGAAGCGCAATATAAATATAAAATAAAAGAGATTTTTAATTTAAAACACGAAGAAAATTTTAGATCTAGCTTAAATGAAATTACTTTAAATAAAATGTATAATATTCAAAATTTTTTTGTTTATATTTTAAAAATGTTAAAACAAGATGTTGTGAATTGAGAAATTTATGTGTTATGAACTTTGGGTTTTTTATTATGATAACAGATATTTGATAAAGTATGAAAATGTACTAACTTTTTTTGTATGTAACTTTTATTGTAATCCCCCTGTAACAAGATTTTTTCTTAATACAATAAAACATTTGTATAATTATTCCATCTTGTAAACAAATATTGTTACTTCATTCTTAATTTATTCATTGAATTTAGAGTAATTACATATAAAATAGTCACTTTTAAATTACTTTCTACTTTTTTGTAAAATAGTTAATCTTTAGTAAAATTGACAAACTTTTTTCTGTAATTTATTATATTTTTAGATATTTTTGACAATGAAAGATATCATCCAGATGGGAAAAAAGCAAAGGAAATGCATTCTTCTGCCAGTTCTGCTAGTTTAAGTGGAGCAGATAATATAAGTAATTTTTATAATTCTGATTTTGATTTCAATAAAATATTTAATGGATTTTTCTAATATATAAATTAAATTATATATCAAGTTGTTTAAAACATTATAACACTGTTTTACTAAAATTATGAAAATTTATTAAAGAAAAGTAATAAAATAAAGTAATTAATTAAAGGAATAAAATATTTCAAAATTTAGATACATTTAGTAGATTCATATAATTCATTTTTTTTAGCTTATATATTTTTCCAGTTAAATTCTTTATGCAATATTTTTAAGATTTTAAAATATTATGTTTTATGAAGTTAAATGATTATTTTTGTTTCATTATGCTTATTTATAATATCATATATTTAGCATGTTTATATCATAGCATGTTCAACTAATCATATGCAAACAGGCATATTTTTATATTACAAAACAGTCAAAAATAAATAGAAAAAACAATAGTTTTTATATTGTAATTTATTATACAGTATATATTATCATAATATCTTTATAGAAATAATGACATTTTTTATTTATTATTATTTATTTATTTGCCAAAGCAGTCTTGATACCTTTTATATATATATATATATATATATATATATATATATATATATATATATATATATATATATATATATATATATATATATATATATATATATATATATATATATATATATATATATATATATATATATATATATATATATATATATATATATATATATATATATATATATATATATATATATATATATATATATATATATATATATATATATATATATATATATATATATATATATATATATATATATATATATATATATATATATATATATATATATATATATATATATATATATATATATATATATATATATATATATATATATATATATATATATATATATATATATATATATATATATATATATATATATATATATATATATATATATATATATATATATATATATATATATATATATATATATATATATATATATATATATATATATATATATATATATATATATATATATATATATATATATATATATATATATATATATATATATATATATATATATATATATATATATATATATATATATATATATATATATATATATATATATATATATATATATATATATATATATATATATATATATATATATATATATATATATATATATATATATATATATATATATATATATATATATATATATATATATATATATATATATATATATATATATATATATATATATATATATATATATATATATATATATATATATATATATATATATATATATATATATATATATATATATATATATATATATATATATATATATATATATATATATATATATATATATATATATATATATATATATATATATATATATATATATATATATATATATATATATATATATATATATATATATATATATATATATATATATATATATATATATATATATATATATATATATATATATATATATATATATATATATATATATATATATATATATATATATATATATATATATATATATATATATATATATATATATATATATATATATATATATATATATATATATATATATATATATATATATATATATATATATATATATATATATATATATATATATATATATATATATATATATATATATATATATATATATATATATATATATATATATATATATATATATATATATATATATATATATATATATATATATATATATATATATATATATATATATATATATATATATATATATATATATATATATATATATATATATATATATATATATATATATATATATATATATATATATATATATATATATATATATATATATATATATATATATATATATATATATATATATATATATATATATATATATATATATATATATATATATATATATATATATATATATATATATATATATATATATATATATATATATATATATATATATATATATATATATATATATATATATATATATATATATATATATATATATATATATATATATATATATATATATATATATATATATATATATATATATATATATATATATATATATATATATATATATATATATATATATATATATATATATATATATATATATATATATATATATATATATATATATATATATATATATATATATATATATATATATATATATATATATATATATATATATATATATATATATATATATANTATATATATATATGTCAAGTCTTCTGTTTGTGATTACATAAAATGATATATATATACATTCCTCAGATGCTCCTTATCTCAGAAAGAGATAAAAATTCACTGAAGCCAGATCAGGGATGTAAGGCAGCTATAGGAATTTGTTTTTATAAAGTGCTATTTGATGTCATGGTTTGATACACAATAGTCGTGATGCATTTTGAGATTGTTGTGTATGATCTTTAGTATTTTTAGTATTAACCCATATAAAATACACATAAAGTATGCCAAATTGTCTAATGGTCTTATTTAATTTCCTCCTGAAAATTACAAAATTAGATAAAAAAGAAAAATTCACATTTTTAGAATTTTAAATGTAATTTTAGAATAATAATTTTTTATTCATTATTTATTCTGAGATATTGAATTGATAAAAAGTTAAGAACATTCTGTTGTGTAAATAAAAGCAATTGATATCAAATGGACAATTAACCAACAAATTATTTTATCTAATATTATTCAGTTTTCTCCCAATTGTTTACATTTAGTAAAATTGTCCTGTAATAATGGGAAATGTAAGAAAAACCCATAAATTATTTTACTTAAAATTTGATAAGAAATATAGAATTTGTATATATACAAACATAGATTATAGTTTCTATTAAATCACTACAGATGCTTAAAAATTTTTAAGCATTTATGATGATAATTTATTATTTTATAAATTTATTTTTAAAAAATATTATGTATTAAACTTTTTTAAACACATTAATATAGTCGTATATTTTTATTAACAATATATAGTAAGGATTCGAAGTTCGACACGAACATCTACAATAATTCCTCCTGAACCTCCCTCAAATCGTAGTACTTCTTGGTTATGGGGTGCTACAGGTGAACAAGAATGGACCCCAGCATTAACTACAGGTTTGTTTTGTAATTTTTTAAAAATTTTAATCTAAATTATAAGAAATTATATAAATATAAATAAAACTTCTTTAGAATACTTTTTAATGCAAAATTTTTTATTTTATGTATAGGTGTAGATTGGAAGTCACTTGTTATACCTGCTTGTCTTCCAATAACTACTGATTATTTTCCTGATAAGAGAAGTTTGCAAAATGATTATGTTGTATCTGATTACTTTTTATTACCTGAAGATATTAGTATGGATCTGACACAGAGAAGGTTTGTTGTTTAATTATTTATCTTTTCAAATATTTTAAACCTATTTGAACAAACTGTTAAATTTTACAATACAATATGCATGTATAGGAATACATTCACCCTCTCAAACAAAATCTAGCAGCCAAATTACAAAGTCTGAAATGATATAAAATAAATTATTCACAAACAATGAGATACTTTTCTATAGACTTCTACATATCAAATCTACTACACAATAGCATGCCAACAAAAAAACCTGTGGAGAATGGATGAATATATGTATATTGTGCCAGTAGTCCTCCCTTGTACAAATTCCATACTGTATATATCAATACTACACAAAAGTTTTAAAATATTATAACTTTGCACTAGCACATACATCATACTGCAGAAGGCTTGAAATTCAGGAAATTCTTAAACACAGATAGACATGTAAACAAAACATTTGTTTTCTGTAGTTATTTCTAGACTTTGATCATACTAGGCACAACTGTATATGCCATATGTACCATAATAATAATAATAATAATAATACAGTAAAACCTTGGTTTAATAGACTAATTTGGGCAAAGTCAAAAGTCTGTTATATAAAGAAGTTTTTCCAAATTCCAACTGTTAAACTAACCAATTTGTCAATATTGTATCTGTTTTTACTTATGTAGCTATGTTTGTGTAATTAAAATTATGTATGTATGAGAAGTTTAATTTCACAGAAAAGATTTTTATGTATTTTATTACTTATGTAAGCACCATAATTATAAGACTAATAAACAAGTATGCAAACTAAATTGAAATAAATAAACAAATGAATATTAATCAAATTTTTTTGATAATTATTTAAAATAAATTTTTTCTTTATTGCAAGTTGTAATGGAGAATTTTTTCTATAGGCAATCATCTACATAACACAAATTTATTCAGTTTTAGATCTTACTTTTATCTTCTTATAACAGAATAAAGTACAGATTTATCAGTTATTACACAACAAAATTATTGTATTATATTTTTTTAACAAAAAAAAAAATGCAAAGTAAGAATTAATGTCTTAACACAGTGATGTACTATAAATTAATTTCTTAATACAGTTACTCATAAATTTAATGTTTATAGTATGGCATGCAGATTGTACAATACATATTGAATACAAGAGAACTGTTTTCTAACAACTATACAGTATTAACTGTTTGGTAATCAGAAAGCAATGTTTTAAGCAGTTTATCTTAATATGATAGACTGTAACTTATATAGAAGTGTTGTATTGTGCGTTAGTTTTATTTTTGAAAATTGGTTGGAAATTTTGGATTTTATTATAATTAAATAGGTTTCTGCTTAACATTTTCCTGCAGGACATCTGATTTTCCTGAACAAATTGTACTGATGTTAGGCAGGGAATGGCTATATTTATTATATATATTATGATTCATATAATGAGAAATAGCTAAGTTTTTATTTAACCCCTTCATTCCCATTTTAAAGAATAATTTTTGTTAATTCATTTCTTTTTAAGAAAGTAAATGTTAATACTGTGTTCTATGTTTTTCAAAGATGTTATCGTGACAATGAAGATTCTGTTCATCATGCACCTATGAAAACTTCAGACGTTTTTTGTGAATTGATTTGCCAAAGACTACAGCAAGTAAGAATTATTTAGATATTTTTAATAAAGGTTTGTTTTGATTTTTAATACCTTCATAATTTATTTCTCTATACAGGGATTTCAAATTATAGTATTGCCAAGACAACAAATGTCTTGTTATTCACAGATGAATTCTAATTCCAGTCCACAATTTGCTTTACCTAGTCTAATAAGAGGACGTTTTCACTTAGATCAACCAGTAATATATACTTTTCCATAAATTAGTTATTAAAATAGTGTAGTATTATAATATATATTTATATTCATAAAAAAATTTTTCTATGAATAATTTTAATAGCTGATAATTAGATAATCATTCATTTTTTAGGAAGAAGTTTTAATGAGTATTGGTAGGATATTTCACAAATTAACTCTTGATGATCTTACAATTACTGTTACTCAATATCGTCCAAGGTAACTATTATATGTTAACTGTATGTTAATGAATATAACATATCATAACACATTTTAACTATTATATTCATAACATAATATTCCAAATTAAACAATTTATGAGTCCATAATTCTCTTTTCATTGTCAAAAATATTATTTTTGTTTGTAGTCATAAAATAGATATATTTTTAAATGAAAAATTATTTAAAGTTTTATTTTTATGTATTTATGTAATATAAATTTAAATAAATTTAATGTGCTTCACCTGAACATGAAGAAAAATCATTGAGTGTGTTAAGAGAATTTATAACATCATCAAATTGTTTTAATATTTAAAGAAATTGATGCAGATTCACATGTTATTTATTATATACAAATAAAATTATATCAATAAATTAAAAATTTTTTAGGAAAAGATGCAAATACAAAAATCAGCAATAAACAAGAACTTTAATGCAAAAACAAAATTTTTTTTTTTCTGCCATATATAACAATCATTATCAGGCAAAATATAGCCTACATTTAAAAATTTTATCACTGTCATTTCAGATTTGAAGATTGATTTTACAGTATATATCAAACCATTCTTTTATGTACAGTTTATATATTTTAATTTACACTTTTTATTTATAGTTACTTATCTTTTTAAATAAATCTTTATTTTAAGCATCAGCTGTCTGTTTTTTAAACTGTTTGCTTCTAGAATGTCTGTAAAAGTTGAACTTCGATGTTATTATATATATAAATGCCAACAAAATTTAGAAACATTTTTATTTTTCCTGAAAAACATTAAAAACTTTCATCTTATTTTTATCCAAAGCATCACTTATTTCAGTTTGTACTGCAAGTATATTTTTTATGAAACTCTTCATAACTAATTGAATTAAAGCTTGTTATAAAGCTTAAACAATGAAGGCATATTATTATTTTAAATAAAAATAAACTTTAATTTATGAATCTGCATTATTTTAAATTTACTATCATGTTTTTACTTTTTGTCATTTACATTCATGCAAATAACAAAATCAACAGTGCAAAAAGTAAAAAGCTATCAATAAAGCTAACACAAATACTTAATATATTTTTGTTGTAATTTATAATAAGTAATGTGAAATGTCAGGATTGAATGTGAAAGCAATTGGATATTGAATCCTGATTATATAGATAATGGACTTGGGATAAATTAGTATTTGTTTAAATATACAGCATAATGAGATAATCATTACTATTCATTACTGTTAGATAATTTTTAGAATAATGAATTAGTAAAGTAAATTTTAAAAATTTATTTTAAAATAAATTTATCACTATTTTAATACAATGTTAATTCATTTCAGGAATATATGTTAAAATATATATTTGTACAAAAAAAATATACATTAAAATTTTATTTGTATTTTAGTGATATATTTAAAATTTCAAATATTATTTTGTTTTGTAGGCATCCTTATCCAGTTGTCAATATTCATTATTGTTATCGGTTTCATGCACCTGACAATGACACTTATGGTGTATCCTGGGTAGATTTTGCTAGTGAAAAGTTAGAAAATTACAAATGGAATTATATTGATCATTATATCTGTTTAAGAGGAGAAGGAGGATTTGAACTAAATGAGGTATTTGTTTATATTTTAAAAATTACTTTAGAAATTAACTTGCTTTCCAAACAATTTTATATGAAATTATAACTATTTTATGCACACAATTAANCCGCGTTTTCGAGGCTCTACTGTACAATTTTTTAAATGTACCTATCTTAGATAACTGAAAATATTTTAAAACGATATTCACATAAATGTGTTAATTGATCTGTTAAAAAAATGCATATTTACTAAAATTTTGAATGTACAGGAGCTCCCTTACTTACAAATGTTCAACTTACGAACAATTTGACCATATGTTTAAAACTTAAATTTCATGTATTCTTGCTGGTTGTGGTGTGGTGTTAAACTCGGTCTTTAACCAATAATAAATAACAAATAATCAATGTGGATTTGTTTCTATCACATATTATCAATTTTTTGTTTTTGTGCGAATTATGACATTCCATTGCCACTCATGAGGTGGCATTGAAGTTGGTAATGTTGGAGTAATGGCATTTTTTGCTGTTGTTTTGAAATTTTTATAAATTTTTATGATTAATGCTTCAGAAATGCATCCAAAATTTTGTAATAGTAAATATAGTCACTCCATTGCAGTGGAAATTAAACCTGCCCTTATAAAAGTAAGCACATTAGGTAAAAAGAAATCTGTGTTTGAAACAACCCCTACTAAGCAGTAGCAAGCAGATAAATGAGCGTAATGTGTTCTACTAAGTAATCTAAGAATTAAACACTAACAATATAGTGTTATTCTTTGTACAAATGTACTTTCTAGGTTAGTTTTGACTTATGACCACATCTCAGGAATTTAACCTGATTGTAAGTAGAAGAGTGCCTATATATGTATATATATGTATATATATATATACATACTGTCGACCCCATAACACTGTTGATAATTCCGTTTTATATGAATTCCATGTTGTATGAGTCACTTAGATTTTACAAATACGTTTGCCAGGCTGTGAATGACTCAAGTATTTGTAAAATCCAAGTGACTCGTACAACATGGAATTCATATAAAACAGAATTATCAACAGTGTTATAGGGGGAGTCGACTGTATATAACTGTTAAGTTTTTAATCCCCTATTATGTCAATCTCAGTGTTTTAATCTATACTAATATTATAAGAGGCAATGTTTGTAAGTTTGTATGTAGGGGTAATCTCCGAAACTACTCATCTGATTTCAAAAATTCTTTCACCAATATTTAGAATGGAACTTCAGGATGGACACAGGTTGTATATTATTCTGTTAAACATTCATATAAATTAAAAGATATCATCTAGGGTTAAGGCTTTTATGTCCAACAGTACGAGTACGACGACCTAAGTTTGCTTTTCTGTGAAGATGAACTAAAGGAGATCATCTGCTATCTATCTATATAAATAAAAATGTAATGTTCGTTTGTTCCTACCGATTCCTTTGAAATTTTGACACAACGCTGCATTCAAATATGCACGTGTTTTTATATAATATACATGTTGAAATTCCCCCCACTGGGGAGAGATTGACAGGATTAAAGCTTACCGTAAAGAACTCTGCTTTTATTTATACTATTTTAGATGTGGTTTTTTTCGTTTTTTGATTGCATTTTAATAGGGTACATCAACAGAATATACACTAAAAAGGGATTTTTCGATATTTTCCCCGCAGGGGAGAGGGACAGGATTAAGGCTTACTGTGAAGAACTTGGCTTCTATTATACTATTTTAGATGCGGTTTTTTGCGTTTTTGATTGCGTTTTAATAGAATGTCAAGAGAATGTACACTAAGAAGAGATTTTTTGAAAAATCCCTCCCAGGGGGATGTGTTATGCATTTATAATAGATACATTTTGAGCCACAACAACGTGTGGTGGGTCTGCTAGTATCATATACAGTCAAATCTGTCTATAATGGAACCCCAAAGGACCAAACAACTCTTTCTTAGTAAACAGGTTTTTGCTATATACAGATTACCTACTGTAAGTATCCCTTGATTAATGAGATTAATAAATTTCTTGATGTGTACAGTGTATATCAAAATCACATTAATCAAATACCAGTAGTACCTCTGTACTTGACCGAGCAATCATCACCTGCTAGAACAAATTTTCGGTTAATAACAAATATTTTTATTTTAACTTCAATTTTGTCATTCATCTGTAAAAAAAGTTTTTTAAGATAAAAATGATTAACCAGTTAAAAAATAAAATAAAGTAAAATCTTACAGCTGCTTACCTTCATCAGACAAAATTATACTCAATTCAGTTTGTTTTCTTCATAAGTGGAAAAAAAGAAACTGTGTGCAGAACACAATCATCAGCATGTTTCTCAACCATTTCAAGTGGATGAAGTGTTTCAACAATGTGTGTCTGTGACACTCTAAAATTTATTGCAAATTCACAAGTTGTTATTTGTCAATTTTTAACAATTTCTTTCCACAATTTCTCTTCAACAGCTTCTGGGGCCAATACGTTTTGTATCCTTTAATTCAAAATTTTCTGAACAAAACTTTCAAAACCACATTTGACACATTTGAAGTTTAGAAGCATTTTCCACATACACAGAACAAGAATTCTTTTACTGTTCATATAGTGTGATATCCTTCACAAAACTTAAAAAGCAAGTGTAATATGCCTGATGTGCATTTTATCGGCAGACATTTCGACTTGATATTATTTAAATGAAATGTTATGTAAAAAACTTTAAAATAAGCTTTAAAACAAAAAATACAATCTCACATCAGGAATAATGTGTTAGATTTCACAACTTCTAATTACATCACATATGTATGTTAAGTAAAAACAGCTGTTAATAAAAATATGCAAAAACTTTCCATTCAAATTCCAATAAAATTACTGTAATACAGTAATCATATTTTGCTATTCTGTATTGCATATGTATATATTTTATATTTTTTTATGATTTATACATGCTAGGCTTGTAAACTTGTTAAACTTGTGTTAAATTTGATACAGATACCAATTTTCCTTTCTGTTTCCGTGTTAGACAGGTTCTGCTATATATAGGTTAATTAACATTAATTTTTGCAAAAAATTTAAGAGATCAAAGAAATCTTCTGTTAATGACAGGTTTTTGCTATATACAGATTCTATTTTAGACAGGTTTGACTGTAATAGATATTTATGAAGGCGTTATCAGTAATTGAAACTTTCATAAAGCTAATTTATTGGATAAATATTCATGACTATTCTGACCCAGCTAAAATGCATATGGCTTAAAATATAATAAAAAATATAATAAAAAAATAACGAAAATGAAAAAATATTAATAAATTATAATATGAATTATTACCAGAACATATAAATACTCTACAATCAAAGATCGAAAAGAAAAGGGGAGAAGATTTATTAACAATAAATAATTTAGAACAAAGTGGTGTAATGTACAAATTTCTTGTACATATATATATGCATCTAAACTAAGCATCTGTTGAGGATTAGATTACAAGAACACACAAATAGTATAATAAACAAACTTCAGGGGTGAATATAAATTTAGTAGATAGGCTGTGAAACTGATAAAAACATGATAAAATTAATTAAAAAGAAATTACATATTCACATAAGAATAGTTAGAGAAAATAAAACATAAACTTATTAATGAGAATGAAGATATAGGAATAAATGACAGATGGTGCAAATATTTAAATATTAAATAACAATGTTTAGAAATGCAGATTAGTAGTTAACAGTATTGGAGAAAAGTAAATGTCATATAGAACAACATAAATATGGATTGTACTTAAATAAGGTAATTTATATGAATATTTTATCTATAATAGCAAAATAGTTTAAATACAAAGGAGTTTTAATATCTTTACATTAATTAGGAAGGTGGATTATAAACTTAAACAGTTTAGCAATGTTAGGCACTTGAGAATATATGAAACTTTGTGTTATGAATCTGAGAATATATTAAGGATTAAATAAAGTATATAAAAAAATTTATTTTATAATTAGTATTATTAAATAAATAAATTTTATTATTACACAATTGGTATGATATGGCATACAAAATGCAACACATAAGTAAAGTACTGTATTTTTAATTGGATGTGTTAGACGACATGGAACTGTGTGCCAGTAAGATGTCCATTAACCTAACGGGTACTTTACGCAGGTTTGTGGTTAGATTGCTAGGCCTGGACTTACGCATGCACCGAAATAATTATGTACAAGGTCAATAAGAGATCAATTATTTAATAGTAACTCAATTAAAGACTATTTACAAAATTAGTAACAAGCAAACAATTTATTCAATGAAAAAAATCAACAATTTGAACAACCGACAAAATCAAATTAATCTATTTACTAACTTAGAACTATTCCCCTTTGAAGCTTGACAATCTCAAGTACTTAACCTATGTACGACAATTCTTACAAATCTAAGGTCCTAACCGTCACCTCAATATACTAGGAACCTTTTATTTCTCTATCCTTTCCCCTATCCTCAAGACTCAATCCCTTTCACTCTGGAATTGCCTCAATCGATTTCTGGACTTCACTTCGTAATGCTGTTATCAGGAGCTCACCTCTATCATCTTCTCTCGGTGTAGTGGCTTTATACTCTGAGGTGATGTCACAATTCTGACTGGAATCACTCCCCTCATTTACATACTTACACCTAACATTTATTTTTTTAATTCTTTTCCTGGCAGTCTAATTACCGACAATGCTCATTAACCTTTTACATTAATCTTTCTTACATTTTCGGGATGTTTAATTTTTATAAGGTTTAGCAAGTTTCCTATTGAGTGCTTGTAGGGCGTCCCCTCTTTTCTTACTGTGGAACTTCGTTTAACTTCTGCCTGGGAGCGCAAGTGTGTGTTAGTTTCCTTATGGCACTTTGTCTCATCAGTGAGTTGGTTTTTCTTTCTTCTGTTTTAGTTACTAAGGTGAGTGGTGGGGGAACCTTCATCCTAACAAAATGTAAACCCCAAACAAAAATAGAATAAAAGCAAAATAAAAATTAACTAAAAAATAACACTTGGACTCAGTTCCTTACAGTAAGAGTGTAAATGTTGACTGTTTGGGGGAATGAAAAAGATATATGTAACATTTGGACAGCAATTGCATGTAATAACAATAAGAATATACAGGGAATTTTATAATATTTTGTTTATCTTCTTTGATAAAGTTATTAACAAGTTTGTATTTTATGAGATTGTTGATTGTATTTTAAAAATTTGGTTATATAATTAGTTATAATGAAGTGCAGCTAGTTGAGTTATTTATTACAATTATTAGTTTAGTATAAATGTTATAGTATATATATTTGTAGACATGTTGTAAATTGTATCATTGTAAGAGTCTTATAATATGTTTGTATCTGTCCAATGAGGGCCATATCATTATATTTTAAGCCAAAATGCATTTTAAGTGGGTCAGAATAAAGTTATGATATTTATGTAATAAATTAGTTATATGAAAGTTTTAATGTATTAATCTTTACAAATATCTATTATATGGCAGTAAAAGATTGAGAAATATAAAAAAAAAAAGATGAAAAGTTTTTATTATATATATAAATATTTATTTTGTAATAATAGTTTTGTTCACATTTTATTTTTAATTAAGAATAAACTAAATTTTAAATATTAATTTATATTAACATTTACTAAAAAATTTTATACACCTGAACCATTTACAGTGTGATCATGTAAAAGATCGGTAAACAAATGCTTTCGAACCCCTTCTGGGCTCTGCTTCAGGTTCCAATCAGTTTCTATAAGGACGTTCGATATCCGTTAGAAGTAGAAATCTGTTTGATCATGTCGTTTAAAGCTTGAGTTTGAATTGTAGGTTCGAATGGATTCACACAATCCAAGTCGTGCATGCGCAACCAGTTTGCCAATTAGAGTTTGATGGGTGAATTAGAGCGTGTTGTGAATTAACTCCTGCCAGGCCATCGATAACAGCATCTCCTCTTTAAAATTTATGCACGTGTTGGTAGTAGAGGATTGTGTGAATCCATTCGAACCTACAATTCAAACTCAAGCTTTAAACGACATGATCGAACGGATTTCTACTTCTAACGGATATCAAGTGTCCTTATAGAAACTGATTGGAACCTGAAGCAGAGCCCAGAAGGGGTTCGAAAACGTTTGTTTACCGATCTTTTGCATGATCACACCATAAATGGTTCAGGTGTGTAAAATTTTTTTAGTAATTCCGGTGTGATAAATGGTGAATTATTTGTATTAACATTTACATTTATATTACTATTACAGTTTCAAATAACAGTTTTATGAAATGAATTGTGCTTATTCATTTATTTCAGTCATCAATTAAATAAAAACTGAATTCAGTTTAAACAAAAGAAAAATCTTATTTCTTCAACATATATCATATTATACAAAAACTTTAATTTAGAGTGATTTAAAATATAAATATATTTCTAGTAGAAACTATTTTCTTCAAATATCTTAAAAAATTTTCTTAAATGCCTGAAGAACAAAAATGTTTTTAATAAAATCTTATTACATGATACTAATCATAAACAAATATTCTACTGAAAACCTTTGTTTTTAAAGTTTAACCAAATTTGTGTTATTCTAAGAAAAAGTTTATTTACATATTTGAATATTTTGAAGAAATTTCTTTTTAAAATTTTCAAGTGGTTCAAGAGATTTTGATTCTTTTAGTCTTTGAAATTTTGGCGACTTCGGTTGTTAATTCTACCTGGTGTTCAGTCAGCGACAAGACAAATTTTAGAAGGTGATACACATTGTGATATTTACAATGATATTACCCAAGAAGAAAAAATTCAACAAAGAGAGGGTTTTCTAAAACTACTTGAAAATTTAAATAGACTACGTAGACATCCAAATACACGAAAAAAGGTAATTTTCTGTTTTTATTAATAACAATAATTATTTTTCTGTTTGTTATACATATTATAACAATATTTCATTGTATTCATATAATTGAATTGCATTTCAGAAAAATGAATTTTATTTGTATTAAAATTTTTTTGTCAACAATGCAATTATAAACTTAAAAAGTTTCTTATTATATGATTGCAAAATGCTTTATTTTTGTAATCTTATTTTTATCATTGTTAATTATATAATAATAATTAATTAATTTTTAGTTATCTTTAAAACTTAAGAAGAAATTTCCAATTTTATTTTCAATATTTTTGAAATTACAGTGGAACCTCGGTATACGACCTTAATCCGTTCCCGATGTTTGGACTTATACTGAATTGGACGTATACCAAACCAACCTTTCCCATAAGAAGTAATGTAAAAATGATTAATCCGTTCTCGTGTAAAAAAAATGGCTGGCTTTAAACACCTCGCTTTCCTGGCTAGTTCCTGCTTGATTTTTCGTGAGATCAGCGTGTATCTTTTTAGCTTTCTCGCAAATAATTGCTTCCGATAAGCTGTCTCCAGCACTGTTTTTCAGTTATCCAAAGCAAAAGCATTTCTCGACATGATCTAATGTCTTCGATCTCTGTTTAGAAATTGATTTAACCCCTTTCGCAACGTTAGTAGATTTAATAATGTCTTTATTTTTCGCGACTGTCCATATCGTCGTTCTCGGAATATGGTAAACAACAGTTAAAATCTCGAACACGCGTGCCACCTTCGTATTTCTCAACAATCTTTTTCATCAATTCCATTGTAATTCTAGTAATTTTTTTAGTTTTCTGTCACTTTTCATTTGCCTTTTTGCGATTCGTGATTAATAAAAATAATAAAATTTCACTTATGAATTAAGATCAGAAGAAATTTAACAAAGTTATAAACCGTTGCACCGCAAACGTCTAGTCTGGTCTAGTACACCGATAGTGCTACTTGTTCATTGATGGCGCGTATAATTGAATTATGTCGTATACCGAACAAATGTCGTATACCGAGCAAAATTTGTTTCGTCCAAACAGGACGTATTCCGAATTGGACGTATTCTAAAGCAGACGTATACCAAGGTACCACTGTATATGCAATTTACATCATTTTTGCAGAACTGTAATTTAATATGTATTTATATTATTGTTAATTAAAACTTATCTTATAAGTAAAACAGTACTTAAGAATTTCTTTTTTTAATAAAATTTCAATCTGTAAAATTGTTTCAGTAGTAATATACCAATTGAAAATTATTTTTAAGGTTTGATGTTTACTTTCTATAAATATATATTTATTATACTATTAAGATAAAGAAAATTTTAACTTATTATTATACACAGTAGAGCGTTGATTATCCAAATCAATTGGGAACTGGGGTTGTTCGGAAGATCAATGTTTTGGATAACCAATTATGTACGAAAAAATATATTAATTTATCCCATCTTGACATTTTTCTCCGTTGCGTGTCGCTTCGCATTGAATTTTCGTCAATGTTAAGCCTAACGAAGACTATTGTATCATTAAAAATTATTTTTTTATTTTGTACGAACAAAATAAATATATTGAAAAATATAAAAACAATAAAAAATTATACTTCAGAAGTTAATTTAGTATCAAAAATGTAAAATATTTGAGTAGCCCAAGACATAGCCAAAGACTGCAGTGCCACAGCGCTGGCAAAAATTTAAATTTGCCGACTGGAATTCTTTCGGTTGATTGACGTTTCGGATGATTGACGTTTCGGATGATTGACTTTCAGATAATTGACGCTCTACTGTATTATCATTTATAGAATATGAATAAACATTGTTATTAAAATATCTTGACACACAGAAAATTTAATTGTGAAACAGTCATTGCTCTAATAAGTTAAATTGGTATATTTGTTTTGATATAAAACAGTACACTAGTATATATAAAATATTTATTAACATAAGGTATATCAATAAATTTTAAATTCATTAGTCGAATTCAACTGTCTTCTCAAAGCTGAACTTTTGGTTAAATTATATAAACATTCTTTTCATATATTTCCAGCATTAACTTTATACATGAAACAAACATTTTCAGCCCAATTTAAACCAATTTAATATGAAGATTAAAATAATGTTATGGAGTCTTTGAATTATTTCACTTTAGAATGCAACATAACTCCTTTATCTTTGGATGGCTTCTAACCTGAGGCAGACCAGTGAATTGGGTTGAAAACATTTATTCAGTGCATAAAGTTAATGCTGAAAATGTACAAAATATACAAAAGATGTGATTGTATAATTTAAATTCATTAGTATTTTAAGATCCACTGTTATTTCATTTGCTTGGAAAAACAAAAGGAAGAATAGAGAATGAGATTATATTCTGCATTATCTCATTCTCTTTTTGAAAGATATTGAAGATGATACTCAGCAAATAGTTTTTTTATACTCAGATCTTCTGATATCCAAATTTTTTGTATCCAAATTCCTGTTACAACATATGATCATCTTCAGTGCACCTCATATTTGAATCACTTAATCCGTTTTACAAATTTGTTTGAAGCTCATATGTAAAAATGTGCGTTAAAAATGGGAAGTAAGAGCAAGTTTGTTCCAAACATCTTCTTTCATCTGGTCTAATGCTACTGTGCAGTTTGTGATATTTTTTTTTATCTCAAAATTTCAGTACAATAGTATGAGCTTATTCTTAGTTCATTTTAAAAGTTTCAACTTCTTGCTTATTTTTTTTCATTATTGTTTTGCCTTTATTCAGTAATATTGCAATATAAAGTATACAGTATTATTACAGCATTCTCATTATTGTATATTAAAGAAAATGTAGTTCATATACAATTCTAATATGGATAATACAATTGTTGCATTATTGCTTACAAACATATCTATTAGTTCTATTATTAATGTTTGTTAATGTAATTGGAATTTAATATTATCCTAAAATCATGGACTGATAAGTAAATGTAGTTTTTGCAGTATTTTAGTGTTGTTTAATTGGTTACTTTGAAGTAGATCAGTCAGTAAGGATCAAACTTATGGACCAAGATATAAAACATCCAATATAAATATGACTGTCTAAATAAGATTTAATATTAAATCAGACAAAAATCTACAGTTTCTGGTTATGATAATTGGCTCTTCTCAGAAGAAATAACTGTTGTTTAATGATTGAAAGAAAAATAAATGAGATGGTTGAATAAACAGATAACTTTATTGCATAGATGATTCATATACTTGTATTAAGTTCATCAGAAATGAAGGCTGGTCAGTGGCCCACAATTATTGAAGATAAACAAAAACTAGAAAAAAAGCAGGATGTGTATTGGGAATTCATCATTATCCCAGAATTTGTGATGACATTCATCAAGATGAATGAAAAACTGTCAATCAAATGGAAATGAAAAGCTTTAAGAAATTGGAACTCTATGAAATTAGAAACTTTTTATGACAAATATAGTCAGTCTGATAATTACTTCAAATATCAGCCGGATTCCTATATCACACTATTATTAATGCTTAATCTATTAGTAATAATCATTAAGTAAATTGGTTGAAGGTAAGTTATTAGGTTGTTAAATTTTAATAATTATAAATAAATCAATTTAATTTATATTTAGAATTCTCTGGAGGAAAAGATCAACCTGGAGTAGGACTTGAACTTGTAACTCCTGCTTACCAGGCAGATGCATTCTAGAAGAAAAATAGTCTCAGAGTGCCCAGTAAGCAGGAGTTAAAAGTTCAAGTCCTACTCCAGGTTGATCTTTTCCTCTGGAGAATTCTAAATATAAATTAAATTGATTTATTTATAATTATTAAAATTTAACAAGAAAGCTTACTTCAACCAATTTTATTAATAATTATTTAGCTGTAATAGCCCAATACAGGAATCCAGCTGTTTGATATTAGAAATTTTTTTATATCAGATGTCTTACATTCAATAAAGCATCAGTTGGGAGATTCAAGGTTCCTTATATAATTATTGTTAATTTATTGTATAATCATCATCATTATTATTTTATTCTATCTGTATACTTTACATTTAAGTTTTTAATTTTAAATAGACTGAAATGAAAGTTTAGTTTTGTTACTTATTGTGCTTTGTTAAGCATAATGAAATGTTTCATTTTTATCATAAGAGAGGATATATTCTGTTTTATTATTTTATATTTGTATAAATGAATTTTAACAAAAATTATTTCGAATTTGTTAAGGAATTTTTAATATAAAATTTTTGTTAAAATGAAACATTAAATCATTTAGTATTGTATTTAGTTTATTTTTAAAATTAATAGTCTAAAATTAAAAAAATATATAATATATATAAGTTTTTTAAATAAATTTGAATTATTATAAATTTTACAGAAGTTTGTTATGCTGTGTATACATATAGTAATTACATTTTGGATATTAATGTACAAAAAATACATTTTACTTAAAGCTATTTCATTATGTTAATAATATGCCTATGAATGAAATAATGAAATGATTTTAGCTCAATCTTTTGGACTTAAATAAAATTAAAGAAAATATAGCATTTATTTTAACTTGTTTTTTAATCAGATTTATAAAAAAAGGTATATTTAACATTTGATATTTTATTAAATTTTTCCATTTGTCCTTTTCTATTGTAACAAATCCATTCATAATTTGTAATTAGTTGAACACTTTATTATTCTGTTTGTTGTAATCTAGGCATATTTTTTAAGAATTTTTTTTGCAGATATTCCTAATTTATATTAAAATGTTTTAAATAANTATTGCAGAAAGTAATCTGTATTATTTTAAAATTTTACTAGACTATATTCTTTTAAGTATATTTATATAATTAATGCAGACTTTTTTATCTTGGTTTTAATTAATCTTGCATACATGCTGATCATTGGAAAAGTTAATAGGTAAGTTCTCTTATATTAATGAGTTTTTGCATGTTGAAAGCATTATCTTATCTAATTATAACACGTATAAATGTATATTCATTTTGAAAGACACTTAACAAAT